CGTACTTGGCATGCTTGCAGGCTTGGACTGCATCAGGGATAGTTCGATTGCAGAAGAATTGGTCGTGGGTGCGGAGGACTTGTTTGGCTACCGCGGATGAAGAAACCAAGCGTTGTTATTTGGCCGAGTTGCAGAGCCATAATGGGGCCATAGCGTTGGCTCATTTTTGTTTGGTTTTGAGTTTGGTGAGGTGTTGTACTGCTGGGTGGGATTCTTTTATATGACCTTGGCTGATCTGTTGTTTAATTATACCTGATGTTTACAATTACTAACTATATTTCATTTGCAGATGGGGATATTGAAACTAACCATGATCTCCTGATATGATTCGAAGAGTCATGCATGCCTTCTTTGGATGATTTGCAAAGTTTGTATACAGGATTTCTTCAAAAGTTTAGAAAAGATATAAACAGAGAAATGATTGAAATAGATGGTCCCAAGACTCCATTACAAGACAAAGGAATTTAAGCTACATCAGTAATTGAATTTCAGCCACAACAACATTCAAAGTTCAATTTCCACAAGCATCGGCTATTACTTCACAGAACCATTATTGATATTGGGTGAAATATTTTCTGCATCCTTGCACAAAGAGGACCTACATAAGAAATAAGAAATTATATATTTAAGATAAAATAATCGATAAATCGAAATAAAAAATTCAACTTAGTTTCTTACTGATTAATGTGAGTTGTACAAGTTCTTCTGTCGTGTCCTATTTGTCCACGCCCCTGGCAATGACGTTTACTCTTATTCATTGCTTTCTCTTTTCCTCCCTTCAATCTTTTACCGCAGCCCTTCGCCCTTACTTGAAGAGGGTCATTCAAATGTGGTGAAATATAACTATTAGTTGCATTTTCATTATTGCTTCCACATCTATTAATGTTACTACTACGCACCACAAAATTTATCTTTTCTCACATACTTTCAAAACTTTCTAGTAGAACTTTACTTGCCTCTTGAGATACCAAGGCACCATCAATAAGCTCAAAAAGCAAGTTTAGACAATCTTGTTTGCCTCACTAATAATGAATTATCACCACATTCAGTTATTTCCCGTCAGACTTTGCGGCCCTTGTCCACCTCTTTAATGTATACTCAATTTTTTTCATTTTCATGTATGCCAACACATGCCTGCATAAGATTCCTTCATATTCAAATTTCTTACATATATGCATGAAGCATAGTCTGCAACTTTGTCAACCATGACTTCTCGCACCTTCAACTTGAAGCTACCATTTTTTTTTCCTCTCCATTACCTTATAAAAGCATAAATTGTCATCCACTCTTGCAAGTTGAAGTACACATACCAAACATTTCCACAACTGTTTTCGAAACTCGTAGAAAATTTTACAAGTATAAATGGTACGTATAAATGGTAGCCATTTGCTTCTCCGTTATCAATGGAGATTTCAACATAGGCTACTCATTGATATGAACATGATCAGCAATTTTCTCTTCATGACGTTGCTAGGCAAGCACCCTATTAAACTGTAGTATGAAATCCATTAAAGAATTTATTTTTGAAATATATAGCTTGAAAAATGCATGAACACCCTCTACTCGTTGGCTAGCTGACATTCCTGCTGAAAAAATATCTTTCACATATGCTGGCACCCATCTTGAACGTATTCTATAGATTGAAGATACACGCTCATCATCATTTAGTTTACTTTTGTGTATCACATCCATCCACTTTTACTCAAATTCTTCCTTTGTGTCTGATTCCCACACACAACTTTGAAGTTCTCTATTTTCATCCTTATAAATAAAAGTGTTTATGTTTTGAGAAAACTTATCCAGAATGTGCCAAATGCAATATCTATGAAACACACCTGGAAAAGCTTGTAAAATAGCTTTTCCTATGGCTAGATCTTGATCTGTAATAATTATTTTGGGTGGACCAACATGCATAGCTTTCTTAAATTTCTCAAACAATCAAAGAAGACTCAGTGGTCTCACTGCTCAAGAACCCATAACCAAAAAGAATAGTTTGACCATGGTTATTAACCCCTACCAATGGGGCAAATACCATACCATACCGATTAGTATTGTATGTGGTATCAAATACAACCACATCATCATAAAACTTAGGGAAATAGCGCTTAATGCCACCAGTTTTTTAATTTTAAGTGGAAATACCACCTCTCCCCACAAATTTTGCAAACATCACCTATAAATACATATTTATTGCCTACTTATCAGCCAGATAACACTTTTGGTCAGTTTTTGGTTTCTCTCTCAGCTCTCTATTCGTTCTCTCTTTCTCTCTCTTCGCTCTCTCTCTCTCTCTAGTGCAACTCTCTCTCTCTCTCTCGTGCAGTTGTATCCCTCTCACGCAGCTCTCTCTCGCTCACGCAGTAGGTCCTCTCCTAGCGCTCTCTGTTATGAATTGTCCCCATCTCTCTGTTCTGAATCGGCAAACC